CCTTCCTATAGTTAAGGTCGCCTAAAAATCCCACTTGGTCAAACATTCCTATAGTTAGGGCCAAAACCACAATTCACTCTCAATAAACGAGAAACTCACCTTTAGTTCGGTAATCAAACCTTCCGATAATTAGGATTATCCGAATCTTTTCTCAGAGTGAAGATCCCACTCTTAGTTTCACCTTCCCGGATTCTTGAAGTGGAGATCTCACTCTGAGTTTCCTTTGGCAACTGGAGATAGAATAAAAAATTCTTCCTTTTCAACTTTGGGAGATAGAATATAAAATCTTCCTCTCCCGCATCGGGTTCGTCTTTGCTCCAAGAGAAGACACAATATTTCAACATTATAACTCCTAAAATCCCCGCTTCATAAGCATGAGGAATTTTATCCTGAAGCCTAAGTAGGGATAAGTCAGCGCCTAACACGCGTTGCCGGTTTAGTCATTGACCGTAAAAAGGACAAAAACCTACATATTCGACATTGTGGCAAGTGGTTATTAATAACAACATAATCCGTGCCTTACACGCACGGGGAACTTTATCCCGAAGCTAAGTAGGGATAAGTCAACGCCTAATACGCGTTGTCGGTTAGTTCTTGATCGTAAAAAGGACAAAAGCCCATATATTCGATATTGTGGTAGGTTATTATTAATAACACCATAATTAGTTCCTTACACGCACAGAGAACTTTATCCCGAAGCCTAAGTAGGGATAAGTCAATGCCTAACACGCGTTGCCGGTTTAGTCTTTCATCGAGAGAAGAAGACACCAGAATCCAAATATGGGGAATTTCATCCTGAAGCCTAAGTAAGGATAAGTCAGTGCCTAACACACGTTATCGGTTAGTCCTTGACCGTAAAAAAGGAAAAAAGCCCACATATTCGATATTATGACAGGACGTTATTAATAACACCAAAATCCGCACCTTACACGCGTAGGGAACTTTATCCCGAATCCTAAGAAGAGATAAGTTAGCGCCTAACACGCATTGTCAGGTAGTCTATTCTCGTGAGAAAGACGAAGTTTACGTATTCAATATCATAGCACTAAAAGAGTTAACTCTTTTAGCACAACGTCACATGCAGAACGGACTTAAAAAATCCGCATGCAAGCCCGATTCAAACGGTAATCCGTAAAGGCACGTCAAATCCATTGATGGCTGAGGATTTACCAAAAATCCTAAGTCTGCATCTGATACATGCGGCCGGGTAGTCTATTCCTGTGAGAAAGACGAAGTCTACATATTCAATATCGTAGCACTAAAAGAGTTAACTCTTTTAGCATAATGTTACATACGGAATGGACTTAAACAATTTGCATGCTAACCCGACTGAAACGGTAGTCGGTAAAGGCTCATCAAACCCGTTGATGGCTGAGGGTTTGCCAAAAATCCTATAAATGTGAGAGTCATTGACGCACTAGACTCATTAGTTGGTCTCGTGACTTGAGCATCCAATAACTTCAGAATAAGAGCCATACATGTAGATGAATCAGCTTTAATAGTTGGTTCTGCAGCCCTAATATTTGGGACCGCCACGCTCTTAAGGTCATACATGTAGATGAATCAGCTTTAATAGTTGGTCCTGCAGCCCTAATATTTGGGACCGCCACGCTCTTAAGGTCATACATGTAGATGAATCAGCTTTAATAGTTGGTCCTGCAGCCCCAATATTTGGGACCGCCACGCTCCAATACCTTAAGAGCTTAAACTGGGTAGACTCTAATAAACGTACGAGTATAAAAACTGTGTTAACGCCGGTCAACGCGCTACAGTAAAGGTCGATGCAGGTCAACGCATCAGCAATCTCGCCAAAATTAGGCAAAAGATGATTCCAGAGAGTTCAATCATATTGAGATATGAATTACTGATGAAGATAATCAGTTCAAAGTCATCTCAATGACAAGAGCTAAGTTCAGAAACTTACGCATCAACTTCAGTTCAAGATTTTGACAACAGTCAGACGATAAACGCAGCGCTGAAAGAACTTTATCTATTTGACATAATACTAAATAGACTGAAGGCTGAAGAAGTCAAGAATTGAAACAATCCACAGGTCCTTCTATGCAATCTCCTCGACAAAATACTGAAGAGGTTAAAAACATGGCCTATCTTATCCAAACCATTCCAGACTCCTCTATAAAAGAATGAGTCTGAAATACTTTAGAGGGGGTATTTGTTGGCATCTAAAAATACCTATAGGTATCCACACACACAGCTCGAGATAAAGAGAAGACGTTAAACATCATTATCCAAGTCAAAGAGGATTATCTGAGTCAAAGAGGATCATCTGACACCGACAAACGCATGAAGCGAAATGGCGAACCAAGTGGCCTGCATGCTCGTCGATCATCGTCAAGCGACTTATGTTCACGAAACACATGAAGCGAATGCATGAAGTGTACAAATCAACAAAACAATGGAATGCACGTAGAAGGACGAAACAAGTCCAGACCGAACATACCGAGAAAGCCCCTGGTGACCGAGTCGCGTCAAAACGACTCGACCAGGCCAGTGGCTCGGTCATGGGCCGAGCCACCAAATGGTGGTTCGCGCCTGAACCGAACCGGTTAGGTTCATTTTGCACCCGGTTCAGCTAGAGTTGTTCCGAGAATGCGTTTTGACGGTTTTCGACGAGTTTTCACAGGATTTCTTTTATTCCAGAGGTTCCTAACTACCTAGATGTTATCTCTAAATGTTGTTACACGGTTATTAACTGAGGATAAGACCAAATCTATCGTTCTTATCCGAAAACCCCCAACCGAAGCCTATAAATATAGGTCTAGGGGCTCATTTCACAAGGGGGAGATCAAGAGGGTGAATTGCTGCCAAATTGGAGAGTGGAGCATGAATTTCAGAGGGTTAGAAGATATTGGCGAGGTTCCTCAATAAAAAAAGAGAGTTCGAGAGATATGAGACCTATTTCCCCCATTCCTCCGGATTTAAGCTTGGTCTTAATCCCGAGAAGAGTCGTAATCTCACTTGGTCGGGATTACCACTTATGCGAATAATTCCTTCATGAAGTAGAAGCTTTGATTATCAATCTATCAACCGGATCTGTTCCACGGTGATCCACGGATATCAACGTCCCCGGTACAGGCGAAGTTCCCACACAAACAACAGGAGATAAACTGTTGTTGTGCTGTTTGACAAGAGTTATATTCTTTTATTTTCATTGTATAAGTCGATCTTATAAAAAGATCTACTTTTCTCTTCTTTTTTCGAACTTGTAATCGATAAACGGTTATAATGAGTTCGTTGGCAATGAAAGCAACTTTTGACCCAAACAACATGTCAGATCACATTAAATTCATCTTGTTTTCATGTGCTTGATTTGAGTCGTCCGTCTTGGCCATTGTTGTCCAATCAAACTGCTATGGTTGCTCCGAGCCATCCATCTTGGCTGAGTTGGTGAATCTCAACCGTTGATTACGCCTACATAAGGTGCTCACCTTCTTCATTGAAGGATCGCAGCGCCTTCAAAAAAATTTTACTGCTCGAGTTCTCTCAAAGTAGACCCTTGACTCTCTCCCTCTATTTCGAACGAAATGGCCCCTAAATCGAAGGTTCTGGCCTCCAAGGGAAAGGGGAAGGCTTCTTCTTCTGTCTCTTCTGATGAAGCCGCCGTCGCCATTGTTGTCGGCATGACACAAACCCACCCTAGTAAGTTCGAGGGTCTGTAGGATTGCATGCGTGGGGATGAGCAAACTCTTGTTCATCACCTAGTGGGTCTTGCCTACTCAGGCGAGATACACTGTTTTGGCAAGCCTTTGTCTTGTTAAATGGATTCTAATTGTTAGGCAAGCTTGGTCCTGTCAGGCGAACTCAGCCGATTGGCGAGCTCTGCCTTTGTCAGGCGAGTTCATCCGACTGGTGGGCTCTGCCTTTGTCAGGTGAGCTTAGCTAACTGGCGAGCTCTACCTTTGTCAGGTGAGTTCAGCTGACTGGCAAGCTCAGCCGACTGGCGACCTTGATGGTAAGCGGGCTCGATGTCAGGTGAGCTTGATTTTGTCAATCGATGTTGATGGCAGGCGAGCTTGGTCCTGTTAGGTGAACTTAGCTGATTGGTGAGCTCTACCTTTGTCAAGTGAGTTCAGCTGACTGGCAAGCTTGATGTCAAGTGGACTCAATATCAGGCGAGCTTGATTTTGCCGGTCGATCTTGATGACAGGCGAGCTTTGTTAGCCCGCCTATTTCCAAGACTAAGAAAATTTCTGGCTCCTCAAGTTAAATTATCTAACTCCCTTCTATTTTGTCTTGTAGCTACATTCTGCGATGAGGCTCTACCAAGGGGCAAGGCAATTGGACTTGCTGGTGCCACTGGTTTTGCAGCTCCTCCTAGGTTCCATCTTCTCGATCTAGTGTTTACCTTCGAGGTCAATAAGACTGCTGAGTTGAGGCGGAAGGTGAAGGACGGGCATCACTTAACCCTACGGGAGTTGACTGCTGATGTAGCGCTAGTGGATGCTCAGCATCAGGAGATGAGGAAACCCAACTTCCTTTTTGGTGATGCTATAGTCGATCTGGCAGCTATGCTTCTCGGTGGGAGTAGGTGGATCACGAAGTGGATGGGGTCCTGACATTTCCTTCCTAGCATGACAAGGGGATTTTCTTTGGTGGAGCTGTGATCCCTCTCTGTCCATCGTATGATGGACTAGGATTTGACTCCTAACTTGGATGGGGTGACTTTTAGTATTTTCACGAGTTCCCAGACCAACTACAGGATTGATAGCTCCAGTAAGCATGTTGTTGTTTTGTATCCTGGCCTCTTGCAGAGCAAGCTGCCCGTGGGGGAGTCACCTGTGGTGACGAAAACCTTTCGTCGCTGTTTTTTCATCGTCGTGGATCAATTCCCTCAAAAAGATTTCAGAGCACCTGGGTGGAATCACTCGTTAGCGGGCAATAGTCCATAATGGCATAGAATTACCAAATACATGTTGGCGGAGAACCCTGACATATAGTGGTCAGATTTGTATGGAGCCATCAGGGCCAATCAGTACGGCCTAAAGATCAATGATCCCCTGCTCCTCAGCATTCTGGAACTCTACTGCCTGGACCGTGGCACATTCTTCACGCCAAACAGGGAGTTGGGTTTGGCACTCTATGAGATGTATGAAGTGTCCGGACTTTTGATTAGGGAGCTCCCATATAAAGAGTACATCCCTAACCAGCAGAAAATCAATCACCTCTGTGAGCAAGCCCCTCAGGTGGAGGAAACTCTCTGGGAGCTCCTCTGCCACTATCACATTTTCTTGGATACCCTCAGATCGGTAGATCACAAGGGTAAGAAGAAGAGGACCCCATACATCAGCCACAAGAATTAGGCCGACTACCTGTTTCCTCAAAATGAAGACAAGAGATGGGCTATCTTGTCGTTGAAGGAGAGTGATCCAGCGGAGGTAGAGAGGAGGGTATCCGAGAGTGGCGACTCAGGGTTGCATGAATACGACGAAGGGGGCTTCAAGGCTTGGACAACCTTCGAGTCGTACCACCACCAAGCCAGGTACGCAATATAAATAAAGGCTTTGTTTACTGGCTACTTGATGCTATGGCTGAAGAGATGTGTGGTGCCCATGCATTCCTTTGAGTCGATTCCAGTGGACGTCATCTACCCAGCCATTCGCTTAGCTTATGGAAGGCCATATGCTTTAGTGCCAGCAATGACAGCTTGCTACAATGTGCCTCATCAAATAGATCTCTCTTCAGCTGTGGATTGTTTGGTATAACTAATCGACCCTTCATCAGAAGGCCTCAATCTGCTCTAATAGTCTAATCAGCCTTGGGTTCCGTGGAAATCTCTCCCTTACGGGTTTGAATCCAAGAGTCCTCTAGCTGAGCTCCAAGAACTCTATCGCTCCATGATGGCTGTATTGATTAAGCTCCTAAGAAAGCACTGCTCCCCCCAATCTCTGGCCTAAAATCATAGTGGCTGAGGGTATAAAGATCTCGATGTAATGAACACCACATTCGCTTCCTGCTCAACACATCTGCTACCACATTCGCCTTTCCCGGATGGTACTGTATAGCGAACTCGTAATCCTTAATAAACTCTACTCATCACCGTTGCCTCTAGTTGAGTTCTTTCTATGAGAAGAGATATTTTAAGCTCTGTTGATCTGTGAATAACTCAAACTGCACTCCATACAAATAATACCTCGATGCTTTCAGTGCAAAAACCACTGCTGCTAGCTCTAAGTCGTGCATGGGATAATTCTGCTCACGAGTTCTTAGGTACCTCGAAATATAGGCCACAACTCTCTGGGTCGGCATCACAACACCTTCTAGACCCGCTAACTATGCATTCGTGTAGACGAAAAATGTTTTATCACTACTTGGAATAACCATTACTGACGTTGTAACCAATTTTGCCTTTAGAGTCTCAAAGGCTTCCTAGCACTCTATGCCCCCAATCAAACTATAAACCATTATGTGTAAGGCATGTAAGTGGTGTTACAATCTTCGAGAAGTCTTAAATAAACTTTCTGTAATAGCTGACCAAACCTAAAAAAAATTATGAATCTCTGTAAATGTCTTTGGTGGCTCCCAATCAAGTACTACTTTCACTTTAGCTGGATCCACTACAATGCCCTCCTTGCTGATAATATGGCCAAAAACCTGACCTCAGAACTAATGCTCCCGCATAGTCTGCAATGCCAAATGAATATGTTGCTCGTGCTCTACCTCTAATCTCGAACATATAAGGATGTCATGGATAAAACAACCACGAACTAGTCCAAACATGGATGGAAAACATGGTTCACCAACGGGTGCATTGGTCAGCCGAAATGGCATGACAAGAAACTCAAAAGACCCATATCGAGTCAGAAAGGCGATTTTAGGAACATCCATTCCCCGTGCTCGTAGCTGAAAATAATCAGAACGAAGATCAATCTTTAAACAATATTGCGCTCCCCACAGCTAGTCGAACAAGTCATATTTCTTCGATAGTGGATACCTGCTCCGGGAGGTGACCTTATTTAACTCACGATAATTGATGCGGCATAATTATGTACCAAAATTGCAAGTACACAATTTATTAAGTTATAGTATAAAAAATATCGATCCCACGAGGAAGGTGATTTTAAGAGATTATTAGAAATTGTTCTTATATTTTGTGTGTGACAATTAGGAATAAAGAATAAGTGTGATTGTGATGAGTGGTTGTTTTGATTTATGTGCAAGAGATAATAAATTGAATTTTAGAGAAGAAAGAATCAAAGAATAAATGAAATCACAAGGCAAGAAAGAAGAATGAATAAAATCAAGAAATAAACCAAGAATGAAAACAAAATTTAAGAAAGTTAAGATGGAGAATTCAAAAGAGGTAAGAAATCTAGAATATAATCCACTAACCAATTTCAATTACAAAATACAAACTATTCTCTTTTTATCATATTTCAACTTAGATTTATTAAGCATAGATTATCAAACCATTTAAGGAAAGTGTAACCTATCAAATTATCATCTAAGTTAAAATTACTATTCATGATAAGAACAACAACATGATAATAATCCTAGAATTCATAAGCATAACCTATCAAACCATTTAAGATAAGCATAGATTATCAAATTCTTCTTCTACCGATTAGTTCTCTAGTTGATTATCCTAAACATGAACATTTTAAGTACAAGAGAATAATTCATACAATATAAAGGAAATTAGACTAGTTTCATACAATTCTAAGATTCCTACAAGAATTAAATTCACATCTTAAGAAATAAAAACAAGAAAAAGAAGACTAATTACAAAATTAAAAAGAAAAGAAAAATCTAAACTATGAACAAGAAATAAATCTAATTACAAAGAAAATAAAAATCTAAACTACAAAATAAATTGCAGAAATTAAATGCAAGAAAAATAAATCTACTCTACAAATTAAAGTGCAAAAAGAAATAAAAAAGACAAGAAAATAAATCTACACTACAAGCATGAATTTAAATCTAACTAATAAGCAATAATAAAGAAATTACTAAAAAGAAATAAAAGAGAAAAGAAATACAAACCTTCAAATTGCTCTTCATCTCCATCCTCATCATTCAACAAGAGGAGAAAGAATAAATTTAAAGAGGAAAAATTTATTTCCTCCATTTATAGGCTACACATAAATCCGGTGTGCCCTGAAACTATGATGTTCTCAGTGTCTGATATCTTTTTCCATTTATAGGCTACACATAAATCCGGTGTGCCCTGAAACTATGATGTTCTCAGTGTCTGATATCTTTTTTATTCTTATAGAGCTAAGCCTCCTACTCTGCGACTCTATCAACAACTGGTTGTGGTGATGGTGAAATCATTGGTATTGCCTCTTTAATAGTTACGACTGGTAAAACTAGTGGTGGAACTCCAGAAAATATAATATGGCTCGTTACTCGTTCCTCGAGTGTTCCTAGTCTCTGTATCTGCAATCGGTGTTACCAAGTCGATCAAATACTATGAAGTCTATTGCAGCTCGGGCTCTGCTTGCCCAGCTCTCCGGGTACGAGTTTTATCTCAACCGCATCCTTGTCCTGACATTTATAATATCAAGAGGAGAGCTTAATAGACACAGTAAAAGAGGTCGCAAATATATATACATAACATAACGTATCACATAGTATTCAC